CAGGGTGTGAGCAGAGTCTCCCACCTCCAAGGAGGAAATACCAGAATTCCCAGAATCCTTAGGGGAAGGCTTTGCCCACACAGAAGCCTCATTGGCTATGACCTGATGGACAGGCTAGATTCCACCCCTACATGCTTAATCCTTAAATTGACAGTTATATAACTAACACAGCCGCCTAGTTCGTTCCTCTATTTCCTTTTACTTTCCTATTATCCCACTATCACATTCAGCCTTCATTCAAGTTTTAGTAATACCTCTCTGTTACATTGCCCTTGATTAAGCCCCACTAGGCATCCTACACCCTTCTCTCCATCACTTGTTGTTCCCTGGTTGTTCACTTGTTCCCTTGTCCCTGGGTCGGTTGACACCCCCCCCCAAGAGAGAGTTTTATATCAAAGAGCAATTGTACATTAACAAAGCAGCCCAGCCAAGTCCAGTCCAATTCCATAAGTCTTATATTAGCCCATATGTCCAGTACCAGTCTATAAGTTCCTCTTCAGACTCACAAACACATGCAATGACACTGAATCAGGAAGATCACAGGCCAGTGGGTGGAAAGTCTTATGGATCTAGTGGCAGTGTAAGCATCTCAGTGCTGGCAGGGGTCTCCACGTGACTCCTCTAGCTCTAGAGCTCCGGCTGTATCAGTGTAACTCTATCAGGCTTGTTGTCAGTATTGTCTCGCAGGAAGTGTGCGTGTGTCCTGCCTCCAGTGAGCTATTTATCTCTTTTGTGCCTCCCAATGAGGTCATCAAGCTGCAACCTGATTGACAGGCTAAAACTCCACCCCTTCACTCTTAAGTTTCAAATTGACAACAGATTATGTAACTACCACAGTGTCACTAAATACAACTCAGCAGTTTGACACACCAGTGAGTATAGGATACAGGTAGGTTTTTAATGTTTGTTTGCAGTCTGGTAAAGGGTATAGAGGCCACCCTTGTGCACGCCCCCCCGTCCCATGGACAGAATATGTGGAAGAATCTGTCGCCTCGGGACTAGTGGTGGGGAGGCACTTGCAGTCCTTCTGTGTCATTAGAGTCTGTTCGCGTGACAAGCAGTGGCAGTGCTGTGCTGGATTTCAAAAAGAAGACCAGCAGAGAGAAACGTGTGCTGGGTCGGAGCGTGTTGTCCTCAGTCCCGTGAGGTATCAGGTGGTCATGGCGGGCTCCCAGGGGGAGCAGGCAGTAACCTGGGTCTTCTGGGGTGATGGGGCCGTGTTTCTGTAGAAGACTTAAATGTGGGAAACGGCAGCTGAGCACCCCTTACTTCGATCCCCAAGGGACAGGACAGGGCGGAAGATGATGGTTACCAACAGGTGTATGTGTGCCTTCTGCAGCCTCACACGGGGTCACTGCTACCTGATCTGCCATGTTTGCCCCATAGATGGCAGCACGGACCCCGTAGTCAACTCCACTTTGGGGTTCATCCCCTGGTAGTCCCCAGTGCACTGGCCTGGACTTTGCTTACGTTCTGCCCCTGCCTGGATGCCTTCCCTCGCTCCCTGCTTCGGATGTGATTGGAGAACTCTTGTACATGCTTCAAAACTTGGCTGACCATTTTCCCATTGCTTGCCAGAGCTAAGCCCCATATGCGCCCTGGTCTGTGTCCTGACCCAGCCTATACATCCAAGGCACTGAGCTCTCTTATCCTGGGTCCTGCCATGCCTGCAAGGTGAGGACGCCAGCGGATTCACCCCTCCCTGGCATCTGGCACAGGCCCCGGCACATAGTAAGCATTCAAGATGCTCAAAAGAGCCCCCTTTGCTAGGTGGGGACTTCCGGAAGGCTGCTCTGGGTTGGGTCTTTGGTGAACTGAACCAGGACCCTGGTGCCAGACTGGTGGGTTCAAATCCCACCTCTATCAATTAGGCACCAGGTGCTTGAACGTGGACATTGGCCACTCTGAGCTCTCCTATGTCCCCTGCAAACTGAGAGGGGACGATAGCAGCACCTGTCCTCATGGTGGGTCCTGTCGGCATCCCAGGATCTGTGGCTGTTACGGAGTCTGTGTGCAGTGGGCTCTGAGAACCATGCCATACAACTCCTTCCTGTGTACGGATATTGTTAAAATCCAACGACAAGGTCGATAAAGAGTGTGTCATCCCCAGAACCCGGGGCCAGGTGCTGAGGACGCTCCTGGACCCTCTCTGGGCACTTCCCCCACGAGACAGCAGGCGTCTGCCGCCTGGGGGACTCTTGCCTGGGCACTCTCTTACTTTGGTCAGGCCGTGGGCTTCATGGGGCAGAAGTTGGTGCACCCTGGTGTCCCCCGTGGACAGGATGTGTGGAAGAATGAGTGCATGAGTGCACCATCAGATGAATGAGAGAGGGGATGGAAGGGACAGTGCCTGGAGAGAGATACGAGTCCATTGCTGGTGGCCGAATGGTGGCCACTGGGGGCGCTAGGGGCGCCTCGCTGCCGCCTCCCAAGCCAATCCTCCCTGCCCCTCCGCAGGTGAGTGCCCCAGTCCAGGGCGCGGCGGCGGCGGCGGCAGCGCGGCCAAACGGAAGAAGAAGCAGCGCCGAAACCGCACTACGTTCAACAGCAGCCAGTTGCAGGCCTTGGAGCGCGTGTTCGAGCGCACGCACTATCCCGACGCCTTCGTGCGCGAGGAGCTCGCCCGGCGGGTCAACCTAAGCGAGGCCCGCGTCCAGGTGAGCTCGGCCTGGGCGCCGCGCATCCGGCGGGGGGACCCCCTGTGGGAGTTTCAGAACTATTGTGACGGTGTGTCTAAGAATGGGAGCATCAGACTGGACCTTGAGCGAGTTAATCCACCTCTTAAAGAGCACAGGGGTCAATCTGGTGAGATTTAGAGATGCTGATACATTGGTACATTGCTTAGGGCAGGCTTTCCATAAAGACGCAGCGTTTTCAAGTGTCGGATGCTTGCTCTGTTACAGCTTCGAGCTTCATACCAGCATGTCCATTTCGCTGGACAGCATCACCAGGGCCCACACTCACCCAGCAACCTTTTATCCTCCTCATGCTACAGAGGGGCTGCTCACCCTAGGATGCTGGCCGGGCAGGCTCACGCCCAGGTCCAAAGGAATGCTGGAGGCCCGAGGTCCCCCCCCCCTCCCCCGGGGAAGGGGAGTGTGTGTGGGGTGGGGAGTGGCCCCCTCTTCTGCCCCTGCGCCCTGCTCATCCCTGCCACCCGTCCCAGGTCTGGTTCCAGAACCGTCGTGCCAAATTCCGCCGGAACGAGCGGGCCATGCTGGCCAACCGCTCCGCCTCACTCCTCAAGTCCTACAGCCAGGAGGCCTCCACCGAGCAGCCCGTGGCTCCCCGGCCCACCGCGCTGAGCCCAGACTACCTCTCCTGGACGGCCTCACCCACCTACAGGTAAGAGCAAGAACCCTGCTGGTGGGGAGGGCACAGCCAGAGGGCCCCTGGAGGCATTTGGGGT